GTTCGCTCCACTGAGCTTTCACTGTACTTTGTGTTAGCCGCACCTTAGCGCGCGCGCCCAGTCAGCGAAGCAAGCCCCAATTTGAAGGCCAATTGCGTTTCGACATCGACAATGGCAGCTGCACCCAAGGTGTGCAACCACGCACCAATTCGTACGCTCCACAAATTGTTGCGGCCATTTGGCTCACATCAGAAATCAAATCAAATCAAATAACAATTAGCAATTCTTTTACAATTTCAACATCATTTTCTAACTTACGCACATGAAAATTGGCCAGAAATCGACTTTGGAACCAGCACGAACAAATGTATATATACTATTTAATAACTTTTGCGGCGGGCGCTTATCTTATCGCCGCCTGCCACGACGACGCGTCGCTAAAATCCAATTCCAATTCCAAATCTTTTTGTTTGTATTTGATTTCAGACGAAGTCCGCGTTGCCCCTTTTGAATTTTGCACGCTCTTTTTTGTTTGCAGAGCGCATTTATTTTGTGTGGAAAACATGTGCCAAGCTTTGAGCTTTATATGTGGCACACCTTATAAGCATGTATATATATATATCATATAGCTGATCGATCAGTCGAAATTAAGTTTTTTTTCGAAAAATGGTTTTGTTGTTTTTCAAAATATCCTAAACAAAGTAGCTTTAAATGCAACAAAGGAACAATTGATCATCAAAATTGTTCTTAAATCAAATATAATAATATAACGCACTATTATATGATCTATGATAGCTCTATAAGCCGAATAGTGCCAAAATTGCGTGTTCGTAAGCAAAACTCTTTGGTTTTTCAAAAGAAAGTTCGGCCGATCTCAGGAGCTTCTATATACTAGTCGTATAATGAACCAAAAGCTGATTAACACCGTACTTCTATATCATATAGCTGACGTAGGAACAATCGGTTGATAATCTAGTTTTTGCATGAAAAACTTTGTCTTATTTAAACTAAATCGCAACATATTAGTTGTATGCTCTATAGCTGAGCTATATCTCACTATATCATATAGCTAGAAAAACAGCTAGTTAAAAACTGTTTTGGCCAGACTCTAAATCCTGTATCCTGTTACTGCCATTTAACTGGCTTTATTGGAAAGCTAAAAAGTTCTTACTTGTGCTACCCCTGCTGCTCGTGATAGATCGCATACAAAGTGACTTGTGCACACACACTATGACACACACCACAATCGCCCCTCGAAAGCACACAAAATATGTTCGCTAATCGCATTTGTTCAATTTGAAATCTTCCACTTTTAAACATTTGTAATGTCCCCCCCCCCCCCCCCCCCCTTCCGCCTCTTTCACTCTTTGCTGCATGTACAAATGTTATTTGGTTTTTGTTGCTTTTGTTTCTCTCTCTCGCGCGCGCTCTCTAATTTTTTGTTTTAACATGACATGAATAAACATCAACAATAACAATAACAATTCGAATTTGTAACGAGCAACTGGCTCTACTGGTCGCTGATGCCGCCCGCGTCTGCCACGCCCACACTGACACGCCGCCGCCTCCTACTCGTTGTTCGTTGTTGTTGCCGCCAAATGTAATTTGAGTTCTTTCAGTTCAAACAAACAAACAAACAAAAAATATATAAATATAATAAAGAACATATATATAGAGCATATCCTTGAGACAGTTTTGGGCTGCGTGTCAGGAGTGCATTTCCACTGAAACATTCTGAAAGCTTGTAAATGCACTATCTGGTACGACATTCCAGAACGTACAATCTTCCCGAATGCAAACAAATAAATGCTGAATATGCGAACATAATGAATATCTATATAAAAATATGCAATTTTTGTGAATAACTAGTGTGATTTTCTATAACATTGAATATTTTCAAACTATTGAGTTACTTATAATTTAATCTTAAGTCAAAACTAGTTTAAGCAAACAAATTTTCAAATAATACAATTATATGCTAATAAAAATGTACTATTATAAAATATAAAATATATTTTAAATATGTGGTTTTATTTCTATCTACGCTATAACTAAACAATCTTACAGATACATACATACATACATATGTGCCCAAATACTGAACTATCAAAAGATGCATGGAAAACATTTTTAGACATATTCCCCAAACATAAAACATTTACATAGATATATATCTAAACAAAAGATACACATAGAACATACATAAAGCTAACTCTAAAAATTATAGATATCGATTTTTGGATATGTTCCCAACTGAATCATAGAGATACATACATATACATACAACAATTAGATATAGGCTCAAATATAATATAGATACATTTTTTATATATGCAAATGAATCTTAAATATACAGGCCCAACTATACAAAAGATACATAATAAAAAATATCTTATAGATATCTGAAGTTTGAAACATTTATTTAAAGGTCCAAAAGTACAATAGAGACAACTCAAAATATATGATTTATATCTTTACAGATACTACAAATGCATCTGAAACATATCGATACATATATCTCTAAACATGCAAACATATATATAGATATAGACCTTATAGGTATATCAAAATGCATCGCAAGCACAGACTTATTACCCCTAACATACATATACATACGTATACAACACTTAGATATAGGCCCATAGATTATATATATCTTTAAAGATATCTACAAATACATCTGAAACTTAGAGATATGCGCCCAAAAATACAAACATGCATTTACAACATTAAGAATATAGGGCCATACTAACAATAGATACATCTGAAAGATACAAGATATATCTCATTTATATAGATCGATGCCCAAATATACAAAAGACTCTCTCTACATTATTGACATCTGCTAAAGCTCTGTGCAGTTACTTCGCTTCAACTGCGATGACCTTGAACTGGGTCGCTTAGCTCTTAACTCCAGTTACTAAAAGGAAAAGGCGCCGCCTTCTTTAAACTGAACGCAAATAGTTGCGCAATGTTGATAGATTACTTAAACCAAACTAAATGGCGACCTTCAGACGTCGCATGCAATAGGTAATTTGTTTGAAGCTCAATTTCCCCCAACCCTACTCACACAAACATACAAACACATGCACACATACCACCACTTGTCAAGGCCAACATTAAAAGCGAAAAGCCACATCCGCTCTTAACCCACAGTTTCCCCCACCCACCCGCACACAAATGTACATCTCAATGGTTTATTGCATATTTTACAGCGCTGCGTTTGGAGCCACGAAAAAGCTTTCGGTGGCCACGCAACGTAGCATAAAACGCAGCATAAGTGGATGAGCCGATGTTGCTGCCAAAGAGACGCAAGATGGCGCCAAGTGTTTTCGCCGCATAGAAAAGCTCTCGCCGCAGCAGGGCGACTTTCGATTGGCGCCCGTTTCAAAGTGTTTGTCGAGCCCGTTCATGATTTTTATTTAAAATACGTTTTTGTTGTACACCAAAACAAACAAACAAAAAAAGAACCTTTAATCCGATTGGCTATGCGCTTTGGCAGTGTGGTTAGCTGGTTGTGTGGCCAATTGACAAATCACAGCCACTATCTTCACTGCCGCCGCGACAAGCTATGACAGCAAAGAAAACCACGCGAAGAGCATATTTAAACCCTTAATATCTGGTCTGAACTACATTAAAAACCTATTTAAATTAATGTTAAGGCAAGTTTTTAAATACAAAATATGTACGATAAATATACGAACTGCAATTTTAGTGTTTTAATTAGATTAAAAGATTGGAATAAAAAAAAAACACGTGAATGCGAAATGGATTACTTTTCAAAAATTGTTCAAAATTTAGAATTTAGTTTTTTCAAGGTTGATTTTAACAGAAGAGAAGAGCTCTCTATATTAAATAAAGCTTAATATCATATGGCACCTGAGGTAAAAAAATGCGCATTTGAGTTCTTAAGTTTTTGTTTCGTTTTATATATATAAATTTTAAATTAATAAAATTTACTTGCTATATATCTATATAAGTTCATCTTCATATAAATAATAATTTTTAGATCGGACATTTTATCCTTTTTTTTTATTTTCTTTTTCATTTTTTTTTAATTTCTTGTTTTTTATTTGAATTACACAACATTACTATTATTTATCGTTATCGTTTCTTTTTTTTTTTTTGTTTTATACGTATGTTAAAAGATTTTTTGTTTCTTATATATTATTGACATTGCTCTTCCAATACATGAGAAGATCTGTTTTTGTATTCTATTATATTTTGTTTCTTATGGTTGTTGTTCTTATATATGTGGTTGTTGTTTTCATTATGTTTTCTTTTGTTTTACATTTTAAATATAAGTTGATTTTTTTTGTTTGCTTTTATGATTTGCATTCGTTTTTTGCTTTAACTAGTTTTAAATTATGTTAAGGGCTCTATAATGTGTGTTCAATAATTGTGGTTGTTGTTGTTGTTGGTGTTTTATTTCCAGTTGATTGTTGTTAATATTTATCGCTGCTTTAAATAATTTAAGAGTATTTAATAGATTACTAATAAATTAGTTTATACGCATGGTAGGTATAGGCAAAATGTAATATAATATGATTTTATCAACAAAATGTAATGAATTATATTATTGTTTAACCCATTCTTGCGTAGATGTGTCAGCGAGCGTGTACGTGTGTGTGTGTGTAATGAGTGTGTGTGTGTGTGTGTGTGTGTGTGTAGTGTGCGTTAAATAATAGTAATAAATACAACGTTATACAATTAAGAGAGAGAGAAGGTGTTTCCATGTTAATAAACTTCAAGCGACATAAAACAAAAAGCAACAAATTAAAAAATTCGATATTTTCTTTTTAACACGCATTGCAATTATCTTTAACAATTTGTTGCGTTTTTTTTTTTTTGTTTTTGAGTTTGACGTAACCAAACAATAATAATACAAAATGTATAAGAAAGTAGATGAAATAATAATAATAATAATAACTGTTGCAATTTAGTTTGTTTCAAGCACGAATTATACACAAAATGTGACAACTAAATGTTTTAATGCTAATTTACAAAGGAAATTATATGTTATATGCGGCGTATATATAGTATTTAAAACAAAACAAAAAAAAAAAAAGAGCAATTACATTGATTTTCTTTCACTATAATTTTTTATGTAACTAGAAACTTTTCAAGTTGCAGAAGAAACGCGCTTTTGAAGCACATTTTCGGCAAGTTATTTTATATATTTTATTTTGTTTTTGTTTTCTCTCGATTTTTGCATTTGAAAAACTATGCTAATTGCCTGCATTAAAGTTTAAGTTAACATAATCCAATTTGTTCTTGTTTTTCTTTTTTCTTCTTCTAATAATTGCATTTTAGTTTTGGTTTATACACATAATTCATTAGCTTTTTTTTTGTTTGTTTTTTGATTGTTTTTATTTAATTTTAATTAAAATTATAAGCCTAGGCATGTTTGCTTTATATACTTCGTTTTTTGTGTATAATTCGAGCTGTCTGTGTGTGTGTGTGTGTGGCGTGTTAGTATATATATATATGTGTGTGTTTGTGTGTTTTGTATTAATTATTACATAATGCATGTATAATTAAATATGCTTGTTTTTTAGTTACTCGAAATAGTTTTTGTTATTTATGCCTACTCTACACGTTGTTTTGTTTGTTGTTGTTATTGCTGTTTCTTTGTTATGTTGTATGTTGGCGTGTTGGTTGTGTGTGTGGGTTATGTTGTGTGGCGGCAATTTGTTGACATTAACTTTAAAATTTATTTAACTGCCTGCTTAGATGTTGTGTATGTAAAGGTGTGAGTGTGTGTGTGTGTTTCTTCTGCCTGATGCGCATATACAACATGTTGTTAAACGAACGATTTGCAATTTGTGTGCTTGTTTGTTGTTGTTGCTGTGGTTGTTCTTGTTGTTGCTGTTGCCGTAATGTTGCTGCTGCTGCTGCTGTTGCTACTTAGGACGTGCCATTGACCAGTCCCTCCTTCTTGATGGCATCCGTTGTGGCCACCTGATCCGCATGGTTGTTTCGATTTTTATTGTTGCGCCTGGGCTTTGACTGCTGCTGACCAGCCTGTGGTTGTTGTTGTTGCTGTTGTGCCAGCTGCGGTGGCTGCGGTTGCTGCTGCGGCAGCTGCTGCTGTTGTGTCAGCGCCTGCTGCTGTTGCTTCTCGCTGTTTCTCGGCGCATCCTTCGACTTGTTCGCACCGCCAGCCGAGGCGTTCGCATTGCCGCTGCTCTGTTTGTTGTTCTCCTGTGCATTCAGCGGCGCTTTGTTCGCTTGTACCGGCACCTGTTGCTGTTGGGCCGTCGACGACGTCGATGGGGGCGGCGGCGGCTGCTGTTGTTGCTGCTGCTGCTGCTGTGATTTGTTGTTGTTATTGCCGAGCGCGCCATTTGCTGAAAAGTGGTGCCAAAATGTTGAGCTAGACGAACATTTAATTGGAATGTGTCTCACCATACTCACTGTTGCCGGGCGCATTGTTGTTCTTTTGCCTTCTGCGTCTTCTGGAGCTGCCCTCGTACGATGAGTTGCTGTCCGCTGTGCCGGGAAGAAGAGAAATACATACATATATATATACAACAAAGACGACGAGGATTGAAAACAAGCGATGGCATAATTAAGCGGGAGGGGGGACACCCCAATCAAAAATTAAATTTATAAACGGCAAAAGTTTCGATTACATGATTACATTAAATTGTTCAAATTGGATTCTATGCAAAAAATCAAATTCATTTCGTGGCCAAAAATAAAATTGATAAATAAATAAATATATATATATATATATATACATATATATAAAAATGCACACACACAAACACAGACAGTCGCCAAGTGGTTGCCGTGGTGCTTGAATACAAAACGTTGTCTTGCCCCCCCACCCGAACGATCTTCAAGCCGACTGCTCGCTCGCTCACTCGCTCTCTCCTAATCCATTGATTGCTTCTTGGTCAACTCACCACGCTCCACGCTGCTCACTTCGCGCGTCTCTCGCATCTCCTCGGTGTGGTTGTGGTACTGATAGTCCCTGCCGTTCTGCTCGTTGCGTGGCGGCCGGCGATTGATGCCGCGTCGGTCATTGCCGCCGCCGCGATAATTGTTGCCACCGCCGCCGCCACCACCACCACCACCGCCGCTGTTGCCAGCATTTGATGGGCCACCACCACTGCCGCGATCATTGTAGCGCTGTTCGCGCTGGTGATCGCCGCGGGAATTGTAATCATCGTCCTCGCGTCGATTGTTGTGATAGCGCTGATTCATGTTGTTGCCACCGCCGCCACGCCCGCGTCCGCGACCACGCTGCCCGCCGCCGCCACCACGTATTGAGCGCACAGACTCAATATCGCTGCTGTAGCCGCGCTCAGAGCGCCGCGAAACGGCGAAGCTCTGTGTGGAGCCCATCGAGGACTCCTGTATGGCGCGCAACTGTTGATCGATTTCCAGCTTCTCCTGGCGCAGCTGTTCCACTTCCTTTCAATCAAATGAGAATCGATCAGTATGTTTAAATCCCGTGTCTCCATACACTCACCTTCAGATGTGACAGATGATATTCCAGCAGCACTTTGGCATTCGCAATGCTCTCCATGGTGCCAATGAACACAAAGGGTACATGCGCCGGCTCACGTGGTATATTCTGATCCTGTTCGTCATCGCCAGCGATCTGTGTGTGCGTGTGCGTGTGTGGTTTGGGATGGGCGAGATTAGGCCATGCCAGGCACGGTGTACAATACTCACAGCACTCACCTTGATTCGAAACACTCCGCTTTTATCGACAATCTCCTGTATGATGCGCCCGTTCTTGCCAATCACCTTGCCAACGAGCTCTCTGGGCACCTGAAAGAACTCTTCGGCATATTCCAGCATGGCGCGTGCCCGCTGCACCGACTCCTCTGTCTCGCCGCTAATCTTGAATGTGCATGATTTTTCCTCCAGCTCAATATTCGTTACGCCGACCAGCGTGCGTGCCGCCTGTATATTAGAGCCATGCGAGCCAATTGCCAGGCCCATGAGATCTTCGCGCACACGAAATTCTTCGATAAAGTTGCTGCAAGAAGCAAATGGTAAATCAATTGAGTTTAAGATACAAACTTCAATCTTAAATACCAAACACTAGCAAAACTAACAGGTATTATGAGTCTGCCGGAATTACGTTTAATTGCAAACTTAAGTTTTTCTACCGTTTCTTCGTCCTTGAGGTTGGATTTGAATCAATCGCGTTTAGATTTATTTTGAGTTAAAGTTAAAAAGAAGTTGGGCCTAAAAACTCTCGTGTTCTACCCGGGAAAGCGAATTTCCTATAACACATCAACAACATGGAATTATGTAAATATGTGAAATTTGTGCTAAAAGCACAGACAAGGCAACTTTAAAAATATCTCTAAGGGGTATATGTGTGTAAAGCAAGAAGAAGGGTTCATATAAGATCTAAAGAGATATTTGGCTTATATCTCGGAGCGTATTATATCAAAGAACAATGGTATGTTGAAAGCCACAATGATCTATCGTAGGTATAGTTTAGCATGACTTTTCATAAAAAACGAAACTTATGGCTTTCATGCTTTGGCTTGTTACAACTGATCAACATATACTCTATGATGTCACAAGCATGTTATATTTTCCAAGCAAGCACGGCTTAACTCCACACCTCACGTTGATGTATAAACCGTGAACTCACCCACGACTCATCAGCTTGGTCGTCTCGAGCTGACGCGCAGCTTCTTCAGTCCTTTTCAACAACATAACCTGTTAAATAGAATGTGATTTTGTGATTCTCTTGTATATAATTTGAATTATTGTGATGCATTTACCTTTTGTGAGAGATTACGAAAATGCATATCCTTGAGCATGCTGGCGCGCTTCTGAGTGTGTTCCCATTTGGAGATGACAATAAGGGCATCAATTTCGCGATTATAGTTGCAAACGCCCGCATCGATGGTGCGCTGAAACTCCTTGTGTATGCCATCCTTTTGAGCTCTACAAAATAGATATATATAGAAATGAAATAAAGACAAATTTAGACATGCCAAGATGGACTCACTCCTCGCGCAGCTCCTCGGGCACGGGCAGCGTGAACTGATAGAACGATTTAGGCGTAATTGGCGGATTTGGATTTTTGGCGCGCAGTCTGCCCAGTTCACAGATTTCGGTATAGGGCGTCTCGAAGCCAATATATGCGACCGCACAGATATCAGCCTTTAACATTTTGATGACAGCCACCCACCAGCCACAGGTTTCGCGCTCGTTTGTGCGCGTAAACACCTCCACCTCCATGCCCTCCTCAAAGTTGGGCGCCGCAACGACGGCCTCATCGGGCGGCAGGCGTACATTGACGAACGCGTATTTCAGCACCTCGAGCACACTACAAAAATTGGCCAAATAGAAAAAACAATACTAACAATGAGAGATGAAGAAGAAGAAGAAGAAGAGGCAGCGGAACATTTACTTAGTTTAGCATATAATGAGGGGCCAGACACAAAATGTTCATTTAAATGCCGCGCGCGGCAGCCAAAATATTTGATTGTGAACATGGCTGCAGACAAGCGTGCGCCGACGTCAACGCTGACAGCGGCGACAGCGCAGTCGGCGTCGTCTGCAGCTGCTCTGGCAGCGCACCAAGCGTGCTCAACACACACAAATTGCGGGGGTGCCCACGATTTAACACTCAAGACATAGATCGGAAATGACACAACCGACACATACACACTTACACACACACCAACATGTATGCACTTACAAACGGGGGACACTGTTGCCGATGGACGCTTTAAACAATAGCTGAATTCGTTTAACAATAGCCAAAAATAGCTGAATTAGCTGTTTCGTGCTCTACAAATAACATAATTTGGCTAGAATATAGCTGAATTAGCAGCACTGCAAAAAGGGTGGTAACTAAATTTAGACTCAGCTGCCGTTGATGCTGCTCAGGCTCAGCGAAAAATAAAACATTCGAAATGCACATATATAAAAATCAAATTAAATACTAACCAAACATTTGTAAATCGAAAGTACAAGATTTGCTCCAAAAATGTCACCAAAATGCAACAAACGAAATGAAGAAAATAATAGGGAATATATTTTATTTCTTGGCTAGTCGACTATAAAATACCCTAGTTGAATATTTGCAAAACGATTTGTTACTTTTAAAACAACAGGAAAATCATTTTTGGAATGATCGAAAGATCAGAGTTATAGAAGTAGCTGAAGCTGATGAGATTTTAAATGCATGTTAAGGTATACAATGAAGCTTTTCGAGGAGTTTATAGAAGATATCTCGAAGAACTTTTTTTATGGGAGCTATATGATAATACGGTTGACTCAAATGTGCAAGAACTTGATAATAATAGATAACACTTTATTTTGGAACATTCCTTCCTATGGCATATATATATATATAATTTGTAGCTTCGACTAATCTCTGTTTCTTTGCGTTACATATTTAGTGTTAGAATTATAATACCCATTGCAAGGATGCAAGCAAATTAGAAGCAAAGCAAAAGAAATGACAAGAAAAATGGTTTCTTTCCGTGATTAAAAATAGCGAGCTGCGACGTCGACAGCGACGGCTGCTGCTACTGCTGCTTAGTGGCATTTGCGGCTGACGCCTGACAGCACGACGCGTGCACATAGACACACACACACATACACACACACACATGCACACACGCAGAGGTTTTGCCTTTGAAAAGCTGACACTTGCCCAGTCAGCAGTTTGTCGTCTGACAGAAGGAGCTGCTGCTGTTGCTGCTGCTGCTGCAGTCGCAGTAGCAAGTAGCAGCATTTAACAAATTGCGCCAAATTAAAATCGGACAAACGGTGGCGTCTCCAACTTATGGGCCGTGGGGCGAGCGTGCCGCATAAATGGGCGGCGCTGCCAAGAAAGAACGTGCAGCTCGCAGCAACATTGTCGCAAATTGATTGTAAAATAGGCACAAAAATAAACAATAATAAATATAATAATAATAACAAGAGCTATCTAGTCGAGAGTGCACGACTTGGAGATACCCTGACCCCAGTAGATGCAAGCTGCAATTACAAATATTATGTTCAAGCAGGAATCTACTTTAAAAATATCACGACTTGAATCTGAATTAATCGATAATAATCGATGTTAGGCAACGAGATCGATGCGATCACACAGACAGACATCAACTGAACTCTTCGTTCTGGTAGGTATATATACTTTCTAGGGTCGAGGTTTGCTTCCTTCTACAATATTGACTGGGATCAGGGTAAAGAGACGTCAAATATGAACAGGCTTCCGTTTGGTGGTTTTGTCCAAATGCTTGTCGCAACTTACCCGTCCACATCCACAAAGATGCCATCATCGCCGACAGCTGTCACCTGGCCCTGTTGTTGTTGATACCGTCGTCGTTGTTATTGTTGTTGTTGTTGTTGCGTTGACGTAGGCAGCGACAGCGACAGCGGCAGCACGAGAAAAGACAGAGTGAAAGAAAAATGTGTGTCAATTATATAGTTGCTGCTGTTGCTTTATGATACATTTCCCAAAGATATAGATACACATATATTATAAATTATAATACTATTTATGTCGCTTAGCGAATGGCCAGACAACCTAACACCAAACACTGGCACGTTTTAGTGTTTGGTGTTCGGTTGTTCACGCGGGCCAAGAAGTCTTGGCTGATAAGAAAATGCAGGCAACGCAAGCTTATCGCAAGCGTAACTAAATTGTTTATTTAAATATTATACACCAGACGCTGATTCATCTAGAAAACTTGCAGAACTCATACTTGCTCAAATGTCGTATAAACCAATCCTATATTTTGTGGCATTCTAGAAATCACAAGATGTTCAAGAAATCCCTTCACTTAACTTTTGGAAATACTTTTCTTTTACAAGAATTTTCGGACCAAATATCATAGTTCTGCAAGTCTTTAAAAGGAAAGAAAATACTATCATTTTCCACTAGCCGATTATTATCTTGTGGCAGGAATAGATGGAATTTATCAGCTTAAATTATGCTTTACCAAAAACTATTCAAAAACAATTCACTTTAATTTCACTTCACTTGACTGATTCTTCTTCTCTTTATTATGCGCTCTTACAACAATATCCCCAACTAAGCGCGTTCTATAAACTGCACATTCCTGGAATTTAATGAACTTGGATTTCCCGTTATATGAATACTATTTTCTATTAGCCACATGCCAATACCCAAGGTGCATATGTCTATAATAAACTTGAATTTTCATTTTAAAAATGAAATACTATTTGCTATCAAAATAAATTCCACTTTGCTATCAAAGGCATCAAAACGTATTATGTATGCAAATCTGATAAGCTTTAGAAAGGGAAATCACAAAGCAGCAAAATTCTCGCCGCCAACGTCAACAGAGCTGAAGGCAACTCTGCGGAGCCTGCCTCACGTACACAACACATACGCCAATATGCAGCGTCGCTCGCGCAGGCGGCAATACACACGCACACGCACGCACACACACATACACTTACGCACACCCCCATACGGGCAGCGACCAACTGCGCCCTATATGAATGCGTGTTGATTTCTATGCATGTGTGTGTGTCAGTGTGTGCGTGCGTGTTTAGTGTGTGCGTATTTCGATGCGAGACTCCACTCAACAAAATGATGCAGTTATTTATAGAAATAAAGCTAAAATTTACGAAATTAGAAACTGAGACCGTCGCTGCCGTCGCCACAAGTTGCAGCGCCGCGTACTCATCGACGCCGGCAGCGGCAGCGGCAGCGATACTGGCGACTTCAGCTTAGGACAAATCTCCCTCTCTCTCTGTCTCCCTTACCTTATAGTAGGCACCGTTATCGAGTCGCACTTCGACCATAAGTTCGTCCATTTTGTTAGCCCTGTGTTCGCCGGTGTCCACGGTGTAATTCTCTTGTGCTGCTAGTTGTTGTTGTTTTAATTGATACTACAGAAGTCGCTGTGAGTTAGACGCCCCCCACCAATCGTCGCAGTAAAGCCGACGTAATTTGTGTGTTAGCCTTTAATAAGAGAGAGAACTGAAATTAGATTAAGAGAACATTAATTAACAAGGCAACACCTACACAACGACAAAGTTACGCGCTGCTGCTTCAAATCTTTGTTATTCCCTGCTTTTGCTTTGTTATCAGTCTTTTTGCTTTGATGTTGTTGTTGCTTTTGTGGTGGTTATGCTTGCTGCTGCACCCACACACACATACGCGTACGCTCAACTCTCGCAGTTCCTGTAAAAATAAACAAGAGAAATAACAATAATAAAGAGATACAGTTTAAGGCGAATTTATGAATTTTCTATATTGACAAGCAAATTAACGGCGTAGCCGTGCTGACCAATGAGGATGGCAGCGAATGGCGAACGGGCAGCGGCAACAGCCGCGCGATGGCAATCAAAAGTTTTGAAGTTATTTTGGGCCCAGCATAGGAAATTCCTTTCTGGTTGAGAACGGTAGCAAAATACCAAGAGCAACAACAACAAATGCAGCGAGAAACGTCAACGCGCTTTTGCCGGGGCAGCGCTGCTGTTGCTTCTTCTTCTTCATTTTATAGCCAGCGCCGCGGCGCCGTCGTCTTTCTTTTGTGTCTTCACATCACTTCTCAGCTCTCACACGCACACACACACACACAAACGTATACATATATATATACAACTGTCAGCAGCCGCCGAAATGCTGAGCACGCTTTTCCAATAAGAATTTCATGCACACACACTATTACCCCAGCACATGCCGATTTTTCATACATACATACAAATGTATCAAATTTTAGTCATAATTTCTTATAACTTCCGTCAAGTTTTTTCGAATACAATTGTTTAACGAAATTCGGATTCTCAACTATTCCACAATGCGTGCGCTTTTTGTAGAAATTTTCATCATTTTCAGCTCCCTTTTGCTGCACAAATTCGCCGCAGTCGCGGCTGCTGCCGCCTTTGCCGCTGTGCAAAAATTTTTTCGCTTCTTGCAAAAAAATTCTTGAGGCGAACTACGCGGCTGTATAATTACGTTGAATGTTTGAAAAGTTAATGCACTTACGGCTGCCCGGCACGTTGATCCGCTGAATTGTTTAATATAAGCTTCAACCTTTTGAAAATAAAAAATATATCGCGTGCAGTGCGCTGCTTTACTGCTTCCAAAATTTTTTTCGGCTGCGCTACGTTCTCTTCGCTTTGCTTTTGGACACTGCTTCGCAGCTCAGCATTCGGCAATGCTGCCAACTCGATGCAATTGTCTCGCGTTCGTAACAATCTTTTACAAATTTAGCTGTGTTCGCTTGGCTCTTTAAATGCTTGAAACACAAAAAATTCAGTAATATTATTTGGATAAATACTTTTTGTAAAATAACCCGATGTTTGCTTCAAAACACACTCGAAAAACATATGTGACATTAAGCGCACGGTGGGGCAACGCTGTAAACTGACAAGCAACTGGGCGTTGCCAACTGTTTGATTTGCTTATTACAATTTCGATATCTACAAGGGCTGCTAACTACTCAGAGCTGCATTTTGGCGCAAAAGCAATGTGAATTTCAAATTTCAATTGTCAGGGGCATTCAAATTTGACGACCATTGTTTGGAAAAATAAATGCCTACAATTCAATTGAGTTGTTTGCTCATTCAAGCGAAACAATTAGTACAAATCACATGTGGCTCGCTACTTAATTGAATTTGATTTGATTTCAATTTGCTTAACTTATCAAATGGCGACCGAGTCACACTTTTATGGACGCCTGTTTGCCATGTTTTTTTTTTACTTTTTTGCAGACCTTTGCCGCCTAATGCAATTGTAATTGTTATTGGGGTCAGTTGTGTGTCGCATGATTTTATGCTCAGCTCGGGAAAAGTCGCGTGACGTGCCGATCAGCTGCCTTTTCCATCAATGAGCGTTTGTTTTTCCGTTTGTTTAACTTGTTGTTATTGTTTTTAAAATGCACACACATTTAATAAATGTACCTTGATGTTAAGTAGCTGATAAATGGGAGGTGTTGCGTTTTATTTGGAAAGAGAAAATTCCGGCTCGCAATGGCTATACGCTTTTCGATAATTAAAAACTATAATTTACAAGCATGCAAATAATGCATAAAATCAATATAGGTCGATTTTTACAACCACAAATGGACATTCGGTTGCATATGTACATATATTTTTATATATTTTTCGAAAGTATTTATTATTAATACTCTTTGTTTTAAATAAAGGCGTAGTTAATAGGGCTTAACTATAAATTTGCTATAAAAATATGATTTAAATATACAAAAATTATCCAAAAAAATATTTAATTAAAGTTTAATTTATGTTTAAAAATATTTTAAAATAATAGTTTTGCTGGTAAAACACAAACTGAAAGCAAAATTTAACTTTCACTCAGCTACAGCATCTGTAAAACCGTTATTTTTTAAATAATTACATGGATATACATATGTACATGTGTGTGTGTATGTCTGTCGGTTGTTGTTGCTACAGAGTATCAAGATTCACATTTTGATAGTCGCAAATTGCGGGCCAGCGTGGCCGGCAATTTGTAGCGGAAATGCATTTTGATTTACACTCATGCACATGTGCAGGCAGCTACTCTACACACACACACACACACACACACACAGTCAAGCGCACACAGATACATGCACGCTGCTGCTCATTAGCCTGTCGACAGCACCGAAAACAAATCGGCAGCATTTTGACATTGACTTTTGTATGCATTAACTGCACTTTAACGACGCGACGTCGACAGCATGACTGACCACATTCTCACACACACACACACACACACACACACACACACACACACACACGCTCGCTGCGTCTCGATATTTGTCTCCCCAATTAACGTGAGCTTGCCGCAATTGTGATACAGCATAAAGCTGTATGAAGACGTCTGCCGCTTGACCCCTTATTAATTAATCACAAAATTTTAATTAATAAATCGCCTTTGAACTTTTTTCCCCTCTGCCATGGTGCATTAATAATATTAATTTAGATTTATTTAAGGCTCTCACAAAATTTAATCAAATATTCGATTCACAAGCGCCGCAACGTCACTTCCGGCGTCGCTGTCGCTGCGCTGCATGGGCACGCGTCATATGTGCAGCTGCGCTTATTTCGCTCTCTCGCTTGCTCTTTTACAGCTGCCAGTTTCTACTACCTTTTACTACGGCTATTTATCGCTGATTTGGCATTTCTCGCTTGCTTATCAATTAACCGCCTGCTGCGCCAGCTTCTAAGCAGCGGCGCGAGCAGCGACGTCGACGCAAGCGTTTAGCGTTCGGCTACATTGCAATTCGTTCGGCTAGCTTCGGCTCGCTTGTAGCGGTTGTTGTTGTTGCTGCTGCTGCTGCTGCTGTAGTTGTTGCATTCGTTTAATCAGCTCCATTTTGTTGTCATTTGGCTTGTAAGACAGAGAGGGTAAAGGAAAGTGAGAGAGAGAGCAAGAGCATAAAACCCCGAAAAAAAACCAACCTGTGTGCCAATGCCATAAATTCAATTCAATTCTTACCGTCTCTCCGCGTGCATTTGAGTATGACTGTGTGTGTGAGTGTGTGCGTGTGTGAGTGTGTGTGTGTGCGCACTTATTCGTGCGATGCTCGTACGGCATTCAGTAATCATTCTGTGCTGTGGGCTGCGGGTTCTGTTCTTCGTATCGGTTCGCCTCGGTTTGGTTATAAAAGACGACGATTCCATTTCAGTTTTATGGAGTTGTCATTGAGCTTGCAAGGGTTCCGAGTCCTTACCAGTCGGTCTTCAAAGAAACAAAAATAAAGTGCCAGAATTGAGTGTGCTCAAATTATACGAGTTAATATTAAATAATAAATAATCGTTTGCAAAAGTTAAGAGATGCATTTTCTTGCCGCAATAGGTAAATTTTTAAAATTAAATCTAAGCAAATTCGTGTTTTTCGTGTTAAAACTAAAGCTCTGACTCACTAGCTTTAAGCCTACCTGAAAGTCTATTGTAGCGATTGCCAAAATTGAAAGACACATTGCTGGCACGTTGAAAGAAACGAGTGTAATTACTTGTGTTTATGTGTTTACACAGAGACATTCTTGGGATTTGTTACACAAAGTTTTCCATTATCAAAAATGCGAATAGTCACGTTTTGGTTTTTGTATAGCCTGTTTATAATCCCCTCGCCCGTAGCCCAAACTTTCGACGGGAAACACTTTGATAGATCCCACGCTGATAATTCACATTCAACCAAAAACATTTACAATACTTTTAATTCTAACGATCTTTACAATTGTTAAGAGTGTGAAGGAAATGCTCAACAACGATCATTTTGCTGTGAAAGTTCATTGAGGTAATAAATTACACAGCAGTTTCTGTATTAAATATATAAATGTTATGAAGAAAATAATTTTTTTGGCCTAATTTCAGAGTAGATCAGTTACTTATGCCATAGGAGCCTCTAGAAAATCTGGGCATTTTTGTTTTCTTTAGTTCCATGGCTAATTAAAAAACATAACACATAACCGAAGTCTGTCGAAAATCAGATAAAACTGTCGACTCACTCAACTTCTGAAGTACTTCAAAGCACACTCCGATATCATGCGTCACGTAGAGTTAAGATAGGTAAACAATTATCTATTTGGCAATATGAAAGAAATTTATCATCAACTGGCTAACTTTTGAGCCCCCATTAGCAAGGCCCGATAATACGAAGCCTTGACTCAACGGCGCCAGTTAAATCTGGCAAATAGCCGCGCCCTACGACTGACCATTTGTTGATAAGGTCACTGTAGTTAAATATGTGTTGAACTCAATGCTCGTAAAAATGTTAACGTCAACAGGGGGATGCCGCACAGCTTACATTCACTTCTTGATCAGATCTTAAGCGGTTCTCGGCCTATTCTCGATAAGTTCTTGAATTGTTCTTGACCAGTTTTCCGTAGTTCGCGATTAGTTCATGTTTTTTTTCTTTCATTTTCCTAAAAGTTCTTGATCAGTTCTTAAAACGCTCTTGAATAGTTCATGATCGGAGTCAGTTCACTCTCCAATCTTCATTAGTTATTGATTAGATCTCAAATAGTGCTCAACTAGTTGATGATTATTTTTTGATCAGTTACCGATTCGGTTGGGAGCAGTATTCGATTATTTCTCGAGCTGTTTTCGATCTTATATCGATCAGCTCTTGGTGAGCTATTGATTAGTTCTCGTTCGGTTTTCAAGCAGCTATTGAATATTTCTCAATCAATTCTTGGTAAGTTCTCAATACATTTTCGCTCAGCTCTCGGCCTATATAGCTCTCGATAAGTTCGTGAACAAATATCGACAAGTTATCGATAAGTGTTCAATAAGTTATCGATTGCCTCCCAGCTTCGACTAGTTTTCAAACAGCCCGCGATCAGTTTATGCACAGTTATCGCATAGTTATCGATCGGTTGTCGATATGTTCTCAATAAGTTATCGATCAGCCCTCAGCTTCGATTAGTTCTCGAGCAGCTCTCGATAAGTTCTTGAACAGTTTACTATCCGTACTCGATCAATTGTCGAGCACTTCCCTCGCTTAGCCCCTTAAAGCGAAGTGAGTTATAAAACAATTTTGTTTGGCTTCGATGAAATTTCACTAATCGCTGATATGCACTACAAAAGCACTTTGATAAGCGCGACCTGGGCATAAGCACATATTAAATAATTATTTTGGAATTATAAGTATAAACTTTTATAGTCGCGCTCGTCTGAGAGATTCGATTTGCTACAATCAAAATTAATAACAAGGCACGTCACGATAACACGCGTTGGGGTGGGACTTCTGGGCTTTTTGTATTAAAGATTAGCTGAGATTTTGGCAAAAGATATATGGGCCAATTATATGTACCCGTGTCATATGCTTTGAAATGATTACACAACCGCGGCGCCAGTTTTGGAGCTCTGCGTCAATTGATTATTTTGCTTAGATAATTGTGAGTGAACCAGGCTGTTTTTCTTTGTTTGTTCTTCAATATAATGAGTTTTTCAAGAGGCTTCCTCAGATAACTCAAGTTTGACAGCTTTACTTCAAAATCCCCCGAAGCGTGGTTGCAAATTATCAGATTACGATTAGAGCGTGTTTCGCGTGCTGAAAATGCATTTATTATTGTTTTCTTTCATGGCAAAGTCAACAAACCGTGTGAAATATATCACATGACCTGACCCCCGCACCCACAATGAGCACAGAGCACAGAGCACAGCGAGTTGAACTATCAGCAAGGGCTTCCGTTTTACATATGCTCAAATATAAGTAAGATAATCCGCAATCAGTTGCAAAGAATGTACCACTTATGTTCTGCGCTGATTTGTGCTTATCAGCTTTGTTTGTTTATAACATTTAATTGCATTTTAATTCTTTGATATGGGACAGAGCTACCCAGCTCCATCGGGCTGATGGAAAGTTTTGAAA